GATCCGATCTCTGCTTGCCTCTGGATCCACCGCTGTTATGCTTAATGGCATCCCAGGTAAGTGGATCCAATGCAAGAACGGACTCCAGCAAGGTGACCCCTATCTCCTTATCTGTTCATTATTATGGCCGATATTCTACAGCAAATGATCATTAACGCTCCTAAGGATGGTATGCTTTTACACCCCTTGTGTCCCCACCTCCCGTGCCCTGTTCTGCAATATGCGGACGACACTCTTATCATAGTTAAAGCCACCACAACTGCTGCCAAGCACCTCAAACACATTCTAGACACCTTTGCCGCAGCCACTGGTCTTCAAATCAACTTCACCAAAACGACTTTCATCCCCCTTAACGTGGATCGGCAGGAGGCCGCTCTTATGGCCTCTGACCTTGGAACGACCATCTCTTCCTTTCCTCAAACCTACCTAGGTCTACCCCTCTCCCCGCATAAGCTGCCGCCCTCTGCCTTTCAGCCGGTCATCGACCGATGCGACACCTATCTGGCTGGCTGGTGTGCCCTACTCCTCTCGCGTGGAGGCAAATTAGTTCTCCTCTCTGCCGTCCTAGACAGTCTCCCCACATATTTTATGCTCTGTTTTTCTCTGCCCGTCCAAGTTATTGAAGCAATAGATAAACATAGACGCTCCTTCTTCTTGTCCAACGATGATACCTGCTCGGGGGCTAAATGCTTGGTGGCTTGGGATAAAGTGTGCACTCCTAGAGATGCAGGTGGTTTGGGTGTTAAAAACCTTCGCGCACAAAATTTTTGTTTACTGCTGAAATTTGCCTACAAATTTTTACACTCCTCCTCCCTCCCTTGGAAGGATTGGGTTTTGCATCACTTACCGCTCCACATTGGCTTTGGCAAGAACAGCTCCTTTCTTGCCAAGACTATTTTCAAACACCTACAGAGCTTGAGAGAGATTTCCCAGTGCACTGTTGGGGACGGTTGCTCCACCTTCTTCTGGTTAGACCGATGGCTAAAGCCAGAACCTCTGGCTATAGTCTACCCAGCCCTATTTTCCCACCATACAAAACAAAATGCCTTGGTAGTTACAATTATGTAGGAGGGGATCGAACTTGCTCTTCGTAATCGGCTAACCACTACTGCGATTGCAGAACTTGCCTCTCTAAACTCTTTGTTGCAGGATTGGGCTCTCTCGTAGGTTCCGGACACTCGTCGCCTGCTCAACGGGTCCGCCTTCTCGGCCCGGGGTGCGTATGCTGCTCTCTCGGGTCATCTCTCCGACCCCACGCTCGCCGCCATTTGGGACTCAAATGTGCCCAAAAAGGTTATGATCTTCGGATGGCTCTTCTACCTCGACCGTCTCAACACCCGGAAGAACTTGCATAAAAAAAGCATCCTGGATACAGAAGCTTGTCCAAGATGTTCTCACCAGGTTGAAGATCGCGAGCACCTGTTCTTTACATGCCCGGCTGCTCGGGGCATTTGGCAGGCTGCCTCCATTCGCCCGTGCTATACGCCCATCAGTGACCTCTTCTCTACGAGGGTGCCAACAGCTTTGCCAACTTCAGTCCGCTCCTTCATGATCCTAATCATCCTATGGAAGATCTAGGACGCACGGAACAAAGAAGTCTTTCAGGGAATAGACCTTCATACTGTTGATTCCATTAGGGCTATTATTGATGATATAACTATATGGGCTCCTCGGCTCAAAACCAAGAGCCTAAAGGAACACGCCGGGCTGTGGTGTGACTTCCTCTCCTCACAAAACTTGTGAGTCCTGTACTCTTCTGCTATGTTTGAAATATATTCAGGTGGGGAGCCTTTCCCCCCCGGTGACCATTTCAAAAAAAAATATTGGCCGCAAGATCTCCGGTTTTCATGGCCCAGTTCTTCGGAGCCGGTGATGCCAGGGAGCAGTGCTCAGGAGGCGTGGAGATCAAGGACATGGAGGCCGCGGTATTCAAAGCAATGCTTGGCTTCATCTACACCGACGCTGTGCCAAAATTCAAAAAGCGGAAGGAGGCGGTGACGGTGATGGCCCAGCGTCTACTTGCTGCTGCTGACAGGTTTGGACTTGACAGGCTCCAGCTCATCTGCGTTGGAAAGCTCTCTGCTGGTAGCATCAGCATCAACACGGTGGCGACTACTCTGGCTTTAGCTGAACAGCACAGGTGTTCTGAGCTCAAGGCAAAGTGTGTGGAGTTCATCCTTGGTACCCCGGCAATTCTTGATGCTGTGTTGGCGACGGATGGGTATAAGCACCTAGAGTCAAGCTGCCCATTTGTGGTGATTGACCTTCTCAAGGCTGCTCGTGGAAGAAAGATTTGAAGGATAACCATATTGTTAATGGTCCAAGATTTGGTAATGCGTTATTCATCATCTATTTGTCTCTAGTAGAAACTTTGTGTCTGTCTCCCCTTGTGAGCATCTCCAACAGCCGCATAAAAATTTCGCGCCCAATAAAAGTTATAGCGCGCCACTGTAGCACTTTTAATGCGCTGGGACCAACATTGCCTTAGCCCCAAAAACGCGCGCCCAAAAAAGCATGCGGTGCAAATTATGAAGCGCGCGCAATCCGAAGCCCATGATATGTTCATGGGGGGTGGTAATTTAGTGCTAAATGGTCCATGATATGTTCTTGTCCTTAAGATGATACATATCAGTTTCAGTGATGTTAGAGAAGGATGATTCAGAGTGCGCAGACATGATTTTCTCAGTTGCAGCCACGTAATCGTGCTGTTTGTTTTACTATGTAGGCTAAGGCTTGAGAGTTCTTGAGTTATTTTCTGATAAAAGGGCGTTTTGTATTGAATAATAATTCACAGTTACACGAGATGTAGCAACTTTATTGATTACAACATCAATGCACAAAGTCTCCCGGATAGAATCCAGAGCAGAATATACAATACTAGAATTCACACCAGGCTCATGAGATCTCTTTTTTTTTTTAATGGAAGAGGGGGTTTCCCTCCGATTTCATTAATGAAACCAAACTAGGATCGACCAACATATCCCATCCAAACTAGTCGGGTTCGAAACATACTACAAGGTTCTATTCACGAGATCTAAGCCAGGATGTGTGCTGAAGCATTCAGAGAACGACCAACACGGCTGGAAGACAAAGATGAGAAGGCCGGTTGCAGTCTTTCCTCGAGAGTGAAACATGGTAGAGTATAACTGTAGAAACCTTCATCGAGTGCAGGAGAGAGAGCGCAGCGAAGGGCCCAGGCTTCTGCCAACTCTAGAGTCGCGACACCGATAAGGGGGTTGGCTGGAGGCAACCAAGCATGTATCATTGTGGTCACGAATCACGACTCCGGCAGCCACTTTACGAGGAGCTGAGAAACTGCAGCAGTATCCACATTGACAACGACCGAAGCAGGTGGGGGTGGACTCACCGAGTGCCAAGGCCGGGCTTGAACAAATGCTGAAAGATCAAGATCAAATCAATATAGGTCCTTGCCTTGAAGATGATGCTGCTCAGGTCAGGGCCTCAGGGGATCGCTCGCCATTGTGTGCTGCATTGTGGGATTCCCAGATGTGCCACACCACGGCCGCCAAAACTGTAACCTGCTGAGGATTGGCACGGTCCACCATTGGTTTGGTGAGCAGAATGAATGCCTTCTTCCGCAGGAGAATACCAAACAGATTCTACAGTTGACCCCAAACTTCTCGCGCAAATCGACAACAAGAAGAAACCATGCTCCACATGTTCATCACGACCACAGAAGATACATGAGGAATTAATGATCCGGAATGCCACGCCTGCATAGTCTATGCCCAGCAGATGCGCAAAGCGCCAGAGCACTATGGTCATCTTGCTGGGGGGCTTGAATTGATTGACCAAATACATTTCCAATGCTTCTCATCCCCCATCCAGCATCCTGGGGAAGTTGGAAATCAAATCATGCAAGAGGTTCAGCACATAACCAGGAAACACATATATGCACGTGCAGTAGACCAAAGCAAAATCACCAGTTTGTTGGATGAGCACGCACCTATGGCGGTATGTATATATAGGTGGCTGATCATATAGATGTCAGTCCGTGGACGATAGTTATTGTTGCATGCCCAAGAACCAAAGTACTAAGTTCATAAAAGAAGATTGTAATCAACAGGACACCAGTGGCTTGGGAAGATTTGGAGATCAAAGCGAGGAATGAGGTCAGTTATATGTGAACGAGGCGAGGCACCCATTAAAAAGGAAACACACAAGTGCGTGAGCAGGGCACCAAGAAATTTAATTAATCATCACAAAAAAAAAAGGTAAAGGAAGTAGGTGTTTGTACCTTTGCAGTATATCCGGCCACATATTTACGGTAATGCAAGGATGATTGGGGTGGGCGCGGAGTGCGTGCATCACTGCCACCTTGGCTTGCTTGGCTCTTCCAGCCGTGACTCCAACACTTTGGATAGTAATAACAGCCTTCCGAAGCGAGGGCAGGTTCCCTTGGAGCCCCAAGTTGCAATCCCAGTGGCCATCTTCATTTGCCACCCGCAGACCGAGGCTGAACATCACTGCCGCCTGCTGTGTAGGAGTCAAATCCACGGAGACATCCGGGGGGCGCCCAACATTGCGACAAGAAATCCAGCGATCTGAAATTCCCGTTGATAACTAGATTCTGAATGCCGTGCAGGCTGCATATAGACTCCACAAAGGCCTCCTCCAACTCCGCACTCTCATCGTTAAATTGTATCTCGAGCTCCCTCAATCTTCCCAGACTGCTGAGCTCTTGCACAATGTTCAGGGAGGCACTTTTCGTCTTCAGCACTTCCATGGATGTAAGATTCCCTAGCCCACCCTGAAGCCACTTGCACTTGCACCTATCGTCAATATCTAGGACCATCAATCCTCTCAGCTTACAAGCAGTAGCCGGTAACTTTTCCAGATCAGGATTCCATCTTACATCCAAAACTTGTAAAAATTGTAGGTTTCCTATTTCGTTTGGCAGTTCAAGAATACCAACACCCGCTAGGCCTAGGAATCTCAGGTGGAATAAGTTCCCCACATCCTTAAGCTTAATATGGCAGCTACTTTTCCCATAGATTTGTATCCCATATATCATCTATTACAACAAGGTACCTGTATCAATTGCGACATTAATGACTTTTTTTTTGCACATGACAAGTCTAATTACCGATGACTCTTTTATCATCTGGGAATCGTCATCAGACGGTACACACATGCACACACACACACACACACACACACACACACACATAAAGATTACAAAGTAATTGTATCATCGAAAGAGATATAAAATGAAGTGTTATTTTTAAATATCCAACACAAATTTGTTACATAATATATTTGTTATTGTACATGTATAATGGGTGAGTAAATGCGTACCTCTTGTTCTTGAAGCATTTCAGAATCTCGTCAATAAGCTGTCTTTCATCTAATGTCAGGATCTTTGAGTTAGACTTGCCAAGATCAATGAGGATGTCTCTGAAAACCTTCTTCACATTGGCATTTCGACCCACCGAAACAAAAGCCCGCCGATGAAAACCCCCTTTGATTTTGTTGTAGACTGCTTTGGCGAGAGTAGTCTTGCCCAATCCTCCAAACCCAACAATTGAGAGTACTATCTTGTGTTTCTTCTTAGAGACGTCATCATCCCCTAATGAGAGCATTTTTATGAGCTCTTGATCTCTATTCCCATATATGCCCACAAGCTTTGTCATGTCAGTGTACAGAGCCTGGACGCGAGGATCAATAGTTGCTGCCCCTGTATGCTTAAGCGAAATACCATCAACCTTGTTCCTGTCACGCCGAGCAGCCACCTCCTGGATTTGCTCTTTGATATCCTTTATCGCGTCGGCAATCCGATGGTGATTCTTGCCCTTCCTGAACAAGCTAACCATCTTCTTCTTGAGCCTCACAAAACCATCTGAGTTGGCACCAATGTCATTGCTAACAACACGTACGAGGAACTTGTCGACAACATCCTCCATGTTGTAGGAGAGCTCCCTGACCTCATCGGCCCAGAGCTTCACTTGTTTGTCGAGCTGGTCCCGTGGCACCTCACCAACCTTGAGGAGGGCAGCGTGCATGCTCTCTAGCTCCCTGGAGAGGAAGCGGATGTCTTTCTTGACGCGCTTGTGAAGGTTGTACTCATCCATGAGCAGCTCACCAAGTTTGGGGAGCAGGCTTCTCATGACACCCGTGACCACCTCCATGAGTAGGAGCAAGATTTCTCACTGGTTACCACCTCTGGAACAACCTGGGGATCGGAGCTGCAAACTGCAATCCAAATTGTGTGATGCTTTGAACTAACTCTAAATTTGAGCGTACTCAAATTTGCAGGTAGCTAGTGGAGGCGAACAGCAGAACACGGCGGCTGCGGAGAGTGGAGGCAGAGCAGAGGAAGGGGTGGTGCGGGACAGTGGAGGTTCGTGTGTATGGCCATCGCTGCGTCCGGTCTGGAAGAAAACGAGTGTGATCATCAGTGTATTAGAGTGGTATAAAGGGGAAAGGGGTGCTTTTGGTAGGTGGGTGGAGAAAGAAAGAAAATGCATCCCTGGGTGGCCGGCATGATAATGAGAAACACTAGAAGATGCAATCAGTGCAAGCACCATTATTAGTAATAATAGTATTACCTCCATCTCTAACTAGCCTACAAAAACGTCTTACATTTTGAGATGGGCCTACAAAAACGTCTTACATTTTGAGACGAAGGTAGTAGTCTATATGCACATGGACTGCATATATGCTCTCCCCCTCCTTTACTCAACCTATTAAAATTTCAGGCCCATGATCCATAATTAATTGTGTATCGAAGAAGATCAAGTGTCGATGCATGTTTTAAGCGGAAGAACGCACACTGATAGTGAAGAAATACTACTATTAATACATACATTTCCCACTAGGACAAAAAGTGAAGCTATTTGGAAGACAGAAGGCATTTCAGACTGCATATGCACTGAAAGAGAGATGGTCAGGGGAAGGCAGTGCTGTTGCTTGTATAACTAATAACACAGAAAGCCATATGTGACGATGTGTTCAAAAGAACTCCCAGCCTGCAACTGAGAAAATTATGTCTATACACTTACATATGCATCAGTGAAACAGCATAAGTCTCTTCCAGACTGGGCACACATACATATGCATCAGCTCGTGCCAATATTGACAAGCAAGGGAAACAGATACCCAATCCAGGGCAATTTGGCACTAAATTAAATCAAATTGGAGGCCAAACTCGAGCAGTAAGTTGCTCATAACATATATAGATGGACATAAGGTTTTCCACTTTAGGTGGATACAGGCACAAGTGCAAGCACAAACAGAATACATGCATAATCAAATCTTGGACATTTGGCGCCCTCATGGTTACCTGTCAGCTCTTTCTGCCCCGCGCAGACTTGAGAAGCTCAGGCAACACCATAGGGCAGCTTGCCTCTAGATGCTTATATCCATCAGTCGCCAACACAGCATCAAGAATTGCAGGAGTGCTAACGATGAAGTCGACGCATTTCACCTTGAGCTGCAGGCAGTTGTGCTGCTCTGCTAATGCCAGAGTAGTTGCTGCCGTGTCGATACTGATGCCATCAGAGAGCTTGCCTTCGCAGATCTCCTTGAGCCTGTCCAGTCCATACTTGTCAGCAGCTGCAAGTAAATGCTGGGCCAACATCGTGACCGCCTCATGCTGCAGATCGAATTCCAGCACAGAGTCAGTGTAGATGAAGTAAAGCAACGACTTGAATACCACCGCATCAATGTCCTTGATCTCGACGCGCTGAGAGCTCGTCTCCTTCATGTGGCCAAAGAACTCGGCCATCAGTACAGGGGACCTTGCAGCAAGAATGACCTTGTGTGCAGCGAAGGACTTGCCGGACACGAGAAATGTGACATCCGCTTCCAACCCACTGTTCAGGAGCTCAGCGAGGTGGTGTTGCAAGCTAGGTGATGACCCAGTCACTTCTTTACCCGGCACAGTTGCTGCTCGTGCTGGCAAATCCTCCTTCAGCACGGTGACTACGCATAGCACGGTAAAAGAATCATTCCTGAGATAACCAGATGATGCCAGGCTGCCCGTCGACATGAGACGAACTGGAAGTGAACAATCTTCTTTGACAAAAGGCGAGCACATCTGCAGACAACGTGATACCCATGAACGGTTGAATATACATGACACACTCTTTTCTTCAGACGGTCGAAGCACGCTTCTCGGATCAGCCAGACGACAGCTCAGGTTCGCCCTCACGATGGACGGGCAGGTCTCGCTGAGGAACACGAGCTTCACCGCCACCCACGGGGTGCCGTCGCGTGCGCGCGGCATCATGGCGGGGTAGATGCAGATCTCCCACTCATACCCGCCAATGTTGTGAGTGGATTTGATGCAGTCGTCGTTGCCCATGGTCTTGGTGGCACAGTAGCCGTCCACCTTGAGCAGCTTCATGGAGCGCACCACATTGGTGACGTTTTTGCTGGCGGTTTCCATGGTAAAGATTGGATGGGGAACACAGGGGAATGTTTCCTCTTTGCTTTGCTTGGGATCTAACGTTTCTGCGTGGGAACGGTTACAGATTAGTGCAGGTGAGACAGGCAGGGTTAGAAGATTCAGAGCGCGGCTGAGAGCGAGCAAGGATGCAAAGGGGGGCTCACCGTGCTACCGGAGAAGAAAGGCCCTGCTTTCTGGGCGCGGCCTGTCTTGCGAGTACCTACCGCCGGCGGAGGAGGCAGCGTCCGGCAAGCGGATCCAGGCAGATCGGTGCTGCGGCGGCAGGATTTGGGTCCCAACGAGCCGAGCCCGCCGTGTCTAGCGGAGAGCGGCGACGGTGGTGGGGGTCCGGGGATGACGACGCCGCCGCAAGGAGTGTGCGGCCGCGGGGTGGTTCCGGTGGGGGGCGTACGGAGGCGGAGGTCGAGGCCGGCGCCGTAGGAGAGGGAAAGGTGGTGGTGGCGAGGGAGGTACGAGTGAGGGGAGGGAGAAGCGTGCTCACCCGCCGTCCGGCAAGATGAACACTTGGCTGCGGCGGCGACTGGCGTTGACGCGGGTGACTCGAGTGGAAGAATGACTTAGGTAGTGGGCCCCGTTGGAAAGAGAAGTTCATCAACAACAAAGAAAATGGGCCAATAGATCCTGTGCAACACATTTCACGTGAATTGAAAGGAGTGCGACGTGGTTGATGAAAATAGCTGTAGTGCAACGCTTCAGAAGCCCAAATAGCCAAGGCCCACTCGGGCGATTAAAATGGCCGTCAACGGGAGTGAGATTATGTTTAAGACATGTGGGACCCACTTGACAGAGCATCTAGTTACGGCCCCACTTGGCAGTGCATCAGGTGAGATGTGGCTCCGTGCCTGTTTGAATCAGTTGAGTAGTGACCCGTTGCTCCCTCCTCTTCGTTCTCGACGGTGAGCCGGCGACGGCGCCGGAGCTTTTTTTCTCGGTGACAGCAGCGGCGAGCTGTCGTTCTCGGCGACGGCGGCGGCAGTGGTGAGTAAATCCTGAACCCTTGTCCTGTTCCCCTCCTTGTCGAGTTAGATCTCACCACATCGCCTCTGTTTCCTTTGTTTTTGGTCGATTTGATCCAGATTTGGGTGCTGGGGAGGGGGGCTGACTGCGATGGAGCCGCGAGAGACAACAACGTCGACTAGGTATGTGCATCCTTTCCAACCTATGCGATGGAGCCCTTTGTGTGTCGTCTGCTTCCGCTAGCTCACACTGCCCGCCATTGACCAACAGGGGTAGGACATTCGAATTCACTGTCGAATTCTTTCCTTCTAAGGCGAAGCTAGGTGATGGTAGTGTGCGAGGCATAGAGAGAGAGATACAATTGTGAAATGGGAGGTTGAATGTGCGGAGATTGATCCTCAGGAAATACAGAGCATGGAAGAGAGGGCCGTGAGAAATGTCGTGGAGAAAATTGGGGAGAGCATTTTTTGGGGTCCAGAGCAGGAGGTAGCATTGCTACGGTTTGATAATTGGAAGGGTGAGTATGTGAGAATTGAGAATGGTGAAGAGATGGTTGATGAAATCGATCGGCAAGACGGCTGGGCAAGCAAACAGACTACCTTTCATGCAGAGCTCTTTGATCTGAAATCAAATTCTAAGGTTGGATATGTGCCCTCAAAGTTGGCTTCACAGATGGTAGATGATGATTGGGCCTCATAGAGACAGATAACGCCCATGTTTACGGGTGAAGTGACAGTAATAAGGGGGGGTCATGGTTCTAAGTCTGACAGTAGAATAGGGGGGTAGAATGTAGAGGCAAGATCTTAGCTATGGAGGAGTTGCACACGCGAGTTTTACGAGTTCAGACCCTTCTCGGAGGAAGTAACAACCCTACGTCTTGGAGCCCGGAGGCGGTCGACTGGATTATATGCGTGTGAGTTACAGGGGGTGCGAACCCTTGTGCCTGTGGAGGGGGGTGGCTTATATAGAGTGCGCCAGGACCCCAGCCAGCCCACGTCACAGAGGGTTTAAGGTACATTGAAGAGAGAACGTTACTGGTAACGCTCGCACTAAAGTGCTATAAATGATAATTAAACCTATAAGTAAATGCTCGACCATTGCTCATGCGGAGTGGCTTTGGCTCTTCTGTCCGTTGAGTGACTTCTGTGACGGTCCAGTGACATTGATTCTTCCGAGTGGAATGTCTCTGGTCGAGTGGATGATGGTACCCTTTGGATGATCCTGGCTTTAGGGTGCTGTCCTAGGGGAGGATGTCTAGGTCAGGTCTATGACCCTACCCTAGGTACGTAGCTTCATCATTAGCCCCCGAATGGTTCAGGGTTCGAGTAGAGAAGGAGTTGATGATCCTTCCGATTCAGCTTTTGTGCTTTGAGAGTGTCTCGCCCAGAGGTCAAATGGACCTTCATGATGGCTTCAACTGCTTGTTCAGTCACCTTGATCCATTCTTGGTTTTGTCGAGTGAACTCTCGTTGTTAAGTTTCGAGTGTTGATATGGAAAAAATCTTCCGTCTGAAGGGTTGTTCTGCCGCCTGCGGATTTCGCAGGATTCAAATTTTGGGAAGCGCGCCGGGCGGGGGAGGCCGCAGTAATCGGGACGGATTAGGAAGGCTGCCTCGATCTTTGCGCCACCTTTTTAGCCACGTATCGCGCGCGTGACTGTTGCGGGATTTGATAAGATCGTCCGGGCCTACAAGTTAGTCACTCGGAAGCGACCTTATATAAGGCGCCGGACCGGGGCCTTTGAACAGTGCGCCCCCATTC